CCCTATTGATGATGATTTTGATGTATTAGTATGGTGAAGAGCCAATTTTAGCAAATATAAGGTTCTTTCTATGATGGCACATGATGTTTTTGGCTGTTTCAATGCCTACAGTGGCTTCTAAATTGGCCTTCAGCACAGGAGGATGTGTCACGGAATCTTGTAGGAATTCATAGTCTCAGTACTTCTTGGACAATCCATCTTTGAATTTGCATCCATGTTCCAAGAATTTGATAATTTTTAAGAGATAGAGGGTGTGGTGGAGACTAGTATGTGTTGCAATGATGATATTGATTATTCGTATTTTATATGAATTATTATATATGTTTTAGTTATATTTTTTTTATTTGTGATGTACTATTATTAACTATTTATATCTTATATATTTTTTAGATCTTTCCAATGTTACTGATGTTGGAGAGGACGGTTGTGTGAGTGCTATTTGATGTTGAATGGCGCTTATGTTTGTTAACTTTTAATGTAACATCCCAATTTAAATTTTAATAGTTAATTTGGGTTAATAAAAATTTTGAAAAATATTTAGAGGTAAGCAAATTAGTAGGAGATGATTATTAAATCTAACTTAGGATATAATTATAAATTAAAATTAAAAAAATTAAAAAAAAATAAATTAAAAATTAAATTAATTAAAAAAATTTAAAAAAATAATAAAAAAATAAAAAAAAATATTATTAAATTATTATTATTATTATAAAAAAAAGAGAAAAGGTATGAAAAAAAAAATGAGAAGAACAAGAAAACTTTCGGCCGTGCGCGTGTAATCATTATATTTATATAATAATAATAATAATAAAAAGAAAGAAGAGAGAGGAAAGAGGAAAATAATAAAAAATATTGTGGGACCCACATTCTTTTTTTAAAAACCACCATTCTCTTCTCATTTTTCCTTCATTTCTCTTCTCTTTCGTGTGCGATCAGAGAGAGTGTCTGTGAGTCAAGTCGCCGGTGCGAAAGATCTGAATTTTTAAGGTAAGAATTTTTAATAGGATATTTAGGGTGTGATTTTAAGCTTTTCAAGACTAAGTAAGTGTTCTAAAATTTTTTCTTAGTCATCCTTCTTCTTTGGTTTCTGAGTTTGTAGTGGTAGAAAATTTAAGATCTGGAAGAGGGATGAATTTATGTTGAATAAATATGATTTTTGAGGTTGTTAATAGTATAATAAATGTTCTAGAGTATAAATTTGTAGATGATCTTTGAATTTGTGGCTTATGGATCAAATTCTAAACTAGATTTGAAAATATATGTTAATTTATTAAAGTTTAGATGATTATTTGGGATGAGAAATGAATTATTATGGCTATAGGATTATGATTCTAAGCTAGAGACTCAATTTTTAATTTTTGGATATTTTAGGTGCGAATTTATGAAATAAAAAAAAAATTTTGATAATAGAAATTAGTTTAGAAGCTAATTTTTAGATTATTAATGTTTATTGATAATTAAAAGAGGAGTTAAAAATTTTACTTAATAGTATTAACTCTAGATTTGTATTATAGGAATTATGTTATATTTTTAATTCTATTATTAGAATTATTTTATTAGTTTCAAAAATTGAAACTAATATTTTAAATAATATGTTATTTGTAGATTGTATTATTGATGAAGATTGTAGTGGGAGAGAAATTGTAAGGAATAATTTATTGAAAAAGTCACAAGGTAACCATGCTTTTAATTTGTGATTAGTGTTACTTCATGTTAATTGGGTGATTATTGAGAAAATTATAAATTTTGTAATATTGTATAATTTTGCAATATTATTATGAATTTGTTTGATTATTGTGGGAGGTGTTGGGAGACTTGCTATTGTTGTTATATTTATGTGCCACGTGGTACGCCCCTATTGGAGCTCAATAGATGGCTTGTAAGGACTCGGGCTAATCTACCTTTGGCCGGGTAATTTAGCACCAAGTGAGGGCTACGGCTCGAGGTTAATGGAGGGATATAAGGGTGGTTATTTGTGTGTATTATAATATTTCTTATTTGTTGGAATTATATTATTTTTAATTCTCACTTAATAAGCACACACTTAACTGTTTGTATATACTATCATAAATTGGCTATGGTTACTGGGACTTTTGAGTCTCATTATGTGGTTAACAATTTTCAGGAGAAGAGCCACGAGTGACACGTGGAGGAGTCCTAGAGGCTTAGTGGCATAGATCCACTATCTCTTTTGGGTATTTGATTTATGATTTATAATGTGTTATATTGCCAATATTAGGGCTTTTTGTTTATTGACAATTATATGAATATATAAATGTAATCATGCCTTTCAAACTATTTTTATTTTTGGTATACTTTAGATGACTGTAATTTTAATATTTGATTTACTTTGGATTGGTTAAAATGGCATGATTATGAGGCCAAATAACTGGCTTGTGTTAAAAATTGACTAAATTATTTATTTTATTTGTTGGGAGTATAAGGATGGACAAATGTGATTTAGTTTACTTGTTGAGAGTATAAGGATGGACAAATGCGATTTAGTCTAGTGGCATGTGGGAGGTAAAAATTTATTTGAAATGTTGTATTGTGTGAGTTTAAGCCAATTATAAAATATTTTAAAATTATTGATATAAAAAAATGTGTTGGGTGGCTGTAACCCAACTATGATTGAGTTAAATTATTTTACAAAAAAAAATTTTGGCGTGTTACATTCAAAACTTTCAAATATTTTGAATATATTTTGGGCACATGTCCCTAACTTACTTTTTGTTATGTGAAGAAATATGGTGATAGTCTGATAAACTAATACTTATTTATTGGCTAGCAAGCTACATCATGTGGTTGGCTAGAATATTTGGGTGGTCATTTTTTTGGATAGACTATGCAACTTGATAATGCAATGTTGAACTGTTAACTAAGTAGGTAGATCATGGTTGAATTATGTATTTTATGGTGGGATGTATATATTCTGAATATGAATATATGATCATTAAGAATTCTGATTTGGATTATACTTTGCTGGACATGTGGACCATATATTAACTTTCTTAAGTTATGTTGATTCAAGTTTAATGATAGTGTGAATACATGTGTGCTCATTGCAAAGTTAGATGTTATATATTTATTAATATTATTATCTAGTGAAATTTCAAAGTTCAATTTGAATTTTGAATCATTATTTAGTGGTGTGGTTTTTGGAAATAAAAAAAATGAATTGCATGAGAAAATAAATTACATTATATTTTATTTTATTTATATTATAGTGAAGATAATTTGAGATTATTTAAATTATAAGGTTGTCATGATTCCAGTAAATAGATGGAAAGTTATTAATGGGTTTATCATATAGATATTGTTATAGAAGATGGAGTTTTGCACAATATTCCTACTCTAATGAGTTTATTATGTAGTTGTTCTACAAGATTGTTATGAATTTTTAGTTTCTAGCAATTAGTCATAGTCCTTTATTATAAAAAAAAAAAGGTCTATCAGCGATGTTTACTTTGAAAGGCTCAACAGGGATTTAGATGCATTACTGATAGAGGACAATGATCATGCCTAGCCCAATATATATTTTTTTAAAAAGGAAGGCCTAGTCTAGGGTTGCATAAAGGACAAGATGGTATTGAACTTGGGGCTAACCCGAAGTCTAGTCTTTTTTATGAAAGGGACTAGGTTAGGCAACTCGTAGTCCGGTCTTTTCTAGTAATAATCCAAAAATTAATGGGACCGAAAGAGACTGATTCTGTTAGTCTAATGCTCACTTAGCTTTTTTTTTTACTTTTTTCTTTTTGAGAGGCAATAATCTATTACAACTTAATAAACTCAATTAAGATAATAAGATTGCTTATAATCATAATAAATCTAAAATAATTTTTAATAAGAAAAAAATATTTCAGTTACAATTTAAATGATTTAAATTTATAACTTCAACAAAAACAACACTTAACAAACTTTAACAACACTACATTATAACAACAATTTAGAAACAAACTCCACAAATCTTCATGCAATCATTTCCTTAGCGTAAATTACACTTAAAGCATTTGTCAAAAATAAACTAATTACAATTATATTAAATAAATTAATAGGACTGGATTAGACTAAGTGGTTCAGATGCCTAGTTTCTTGTTTAGTTCAACTCGAAGAAATATGCTAGTTTTTTTAGTCCTTTTGATCCTAAAGAACCATTGTTTATAAGGACTAGACAAGACAAGAGCATATCAAGTTGGATTGACTTGGATAGGACTAAAGAACTTTTGCACAGTCTTAGCCTGGTCTAATGAATTGGTCCAGTAACCTAATGGATCAAGTCCAACTCGATCTACGTATCAAGGTTCAACAAGACTAGATTAGTGCTCAAACTGAAAATTTCAGCCCTATCTCCATTCAAACTAGACTTTAGGTTGGCATCCAACCTAATCCGGTCCGGTATTTGTGTAGCCTTAACTGACACGTTGAGGCATTCCTCACTTGCACTTAGTTTGTCTGAATATAAATCCAAATGCCGGTCTCAAAGCCCCATTTTTAGCCTTGAACCCCAGAATCTGGATTGACTCTGTCAGCAAAGCCATCTAACCACTTCATATCTTCGTCATTCCTTGCCACAAGTCTCGAAAGCTTCTTCACATTATTCAGTGTCAACCACCCAAGACTCACAGCAAAATCACCTGTTAAGGTTTCTTGTTTACAATTGTTCCCTGCCATATTGCATGTTTGGATTATTCCTAGCAACATACAAAAGGACAAGAAAACCCATTGTAAACTAAATAAATTATAAAAGCAATATAAATGTTTTAATTTTAGAATTGCATTTGCACTTGAGAACGGCGTGCTGAAGGAAATTCAGATCTTGGTCTGCCTGACATTAGTTGCGATTATACTTTTATATGTTCTTACATCTTTGGGCTGAAAAACTTTGTTGTGTCATTTGGAAGACGGTGCTGGACCACTTCTTAAACCCAAACCCGAGGGTTAGTCTAAGTCTACCAATTATTGACGGGCCCATATTCGTAAAAACGCGTTCTTCGTGCACAACTTGTCCAAGCCGAGGTCGCCTTCCCAAACGACTTGAAGGCTCGAAGCAGACTTGGCGTCAGGTCTTTCCATTTTCACGTTTCAGTTTCATCATAATTCCCAATCCCATCCCAAAATTACTCTTGTTTCGATCGATCGTAACCCGCTTCTTCCCCTTTTTTAATTCGGCAAGTTCTTTTCTGCTTCGGCTGTCAGCTTGGATTCTCACAAATTTAACTTTGTCGAATCGATTATTGCCCTGGCATTCCCGCCGGTGATTCTCCCCGAATACGAGTTTCGCGTCATTCTCCTTCATATAGGAACACGGCGTTTTTGCTTTACACGGTCCATAGAGAAAGAGTGCGAGAGCTATATGTGTCTTTAGTTAGATTTTCTGTATTTGAGGTGTGGAGTTCCTTCACTAATGGCCAGAAATGCATCATTGGAAATGTTATTCTTCTTGCTGATCGTGCTCGCTGGTTCTCATCCTTCACTGGGTTGGGAATTCAGAAAGCTGGGTGGTGCGGATCCTAGCTCGACTCACACCACGGATAGAATACATGTAAAAATCTCTCCATTTTTCTCCTTCTTAATGTTTCCTCGTTTTCAATTTTACTTTTCCTTGTTCTTTTTGTTTTTTGGTAAAATTGACGAGAGATGAATTAAGTTTTCTTCTTTAGGATTCTCCGTTGCCAACTTCCGACCCAAGGCACGAGAAATTAGGAAATAACAATAAAACGGATCCTCCTTCCCCCGGTGCTGCACCTAAAGTGAATCCATCGAGTCCGAACAATTCTATTTCCCCAGTTCCACCTCCTTTACAAACGGACAATGCGAAAGCTTCCGGTAATTCAACTTCTGCAACTCCACCACCTGTTACCGGAAGCAATGATCAGAAGAGTGATGCAGAAGGAATGAAAAGCGATGGCCAAACTTTCTCACAGTTAAACACCTCTGCGAATTGTGATCGCTCGAGCGCTAAGTGCAGAGATCAGGGGGATATAGTTGCTTGCATTTCTGAAATCGGTAACTCATTTCGTTGAGGCAAATTGGTCTATTGTTTCTTTCATTTTAGCATTGTTTATTGTTTAATACAAGAGATAACTAATAACTCTTCGCATAAGCACATATGCTTATGTGTGACTGGCTTGAGGTTATGATACACGCTTAGAGATTAAACGAGCCGAACAATCTGAAATTGCATGTAAATTCTCTAGTCCACGTGAGAGTTTAAGTAATTTGATCTTCTGCACGTATTTAGGTCATTTAAGGTAAAGCTAATCAATATACTCAAAGGAGCTCGTGCGTGCGCCTTATTGGGGAGTGCCTCAACTCGGGCACCTTACTCATGCTGACTGGAATAATCATTATATAAGTCTAAGTTAAGAAACTATAATGCACAATGTAAATGACCCAATCCAATCTTTAATATGTCACTTCTTTTCAAAATTTGTATGTCAAAGTCAAACTAGCGCTAACCTCTTACCGTTGCACCCGCTGTATTTATGCTTTAAGATTCTGAGCTTCAAAATTAGCCGGAAATGTGCAACAGTGATTTATTTTAGTTTTACATATACAACGATGATATTATTTCAAGTTACGTGGATCTATTTTATATATATATATATATATATATATATATAGCGTGCTTCTTCTTATTTCAACACCTTGATTTAACCGGGCATGCACTCTTCTAGCACCCCTCACCTAAGGCCTTTTAGAGGTCTAGTGTGTTAAGGGTGCCTTTTGCCTATCTTGATGCTAGTGCTAAGTAAAGCCGAGATAGAAAAACAGAGAGACTACCCAATTTCTTTCTTTCTTTCTTTCTTTTTATGTGAAACAATATAAACTTAGAAAGGAATTCCAAATGTTGAATGAATCGCATTCCTGTATTGCAAGCTAAGATATGAAAGATGTTGAAAATGCTAGCAAAGAAGAGATAATGAAAGATGATTTTTTTTTTTTTTTGTACATTTACTTGCTTACTGATACCTAAAGTTTTATCCTGTGCCTGTATATAAATGTTGGGTATGACTATTGCATGTTAAGGATTCGATATTGTTGATTTTGAACTACTTACTTTTATCAGTGATATTCCTTATGGTCATATTAATTTCTGAAATTTTTCCCATTTTTCCCCAGTTGTAGACTTGATTCTTTGATCTATTCCTGTACTTCTTTTACCAGAATGCAAATTTTTCTTTGTTGAACTTGAGCCCTTTATTAACCAGAGAACTTTGTAGAGTTAGTGGCCTCTTGCCTTGACCGGCACTCACAAAACTGTTAATACACTTTTTTCTTATGTCTTTACTATTTTAAGTAAAATACTTAAACGTTCATTCTTTATTCTTGATCTTACACATACCTCCATCTATTTCTAAAACCTTTACAAAATCCCAGTTGAGTTGAACAGTTGTAATGAAATACTCTCTCTGTCCCAAATTATAAGACATTTTTAGACAAAATTTCACATACCAATAAACCTCATTAAATACACTTAACAACTTTATCTTCCCAAAACAAAAATATAAACTTCCAAAAATACCCATCATTTAATACATTGAAAAGATAAGGAATGGAAATTAATTATATAGAGAGAAACGGTAATATTGGAATTGATGCATTTAATGAAACTTTAATCTACCCAAAGTGTCTTATAGTTTGGGGTGGAGAAACTCCTTCAAAAGTGTCCTATAATTTAGGATGGAGGGAGTAATTTGTAAGATTATATTTTATTTTTTTATCAATTTATTTTTAAATAATTTCATCGACTATGCTACCCTTTCTATCTTTTACTCTTGCATTACCCTTCCCTTCAGTTTAGCCATCACCCTCCCGCTCTTTCCATGCCCTCTTCACCCTCCCTCTTATCTTATTTGCCAAAGCTCCTGAATTGCTATTAGATTGTTTATTGGGTGTTGCGCTTTAAAAATACCAGTTCCCTTGCTTCCATCACTTTTTGTTCTGAAGCCACTATTTGTGTAATAAGTTACAGCTGGAAAATCATGTGAGGGAAGGGTCCGCATTATGAAATTTTATAATGGAAATGCTACCTTAAAAATAGTAGAGCTGGGGGTTGTTTGCTTTTTTTACTCTTCTTACTGTAAAATAAATAAATAGCTTGGAACAAAAATTCCATTCCTTGGTTTTTTTTTTTTTTTTTGGGAGTCAACAGAGCTTGGAACAACTAACTGTAGAATAACTGGTCAGAATAAGATGATTGATCTGCAGATCCAACTCCTTTGCAAGTATTACCTTAATGGAGTTCAATGGGAAGATGTTTGCTGCATAGCTTTTGTGTTTTAGAGACAGGCTTGGGTGTTTTATAGTATAGGCAACTTGAATATCATTTAGGGGTATTTTATAATTTTGTTTATATAGATAATATACTTTCTAAAAATTATGTATGAATTTTCTTAACACAAATTGGAGTTATGTTTAGCATATGTTTGCTTTAAGAATGCAAGGGAAGCTTTTGTAGGTCTCAGAAATAGGGGGCACGTTGAAGCAATTCATACTTGTTATTTTAATGATATCTTCTTGAGACTTAAACCATTTTGGGTAGAGCGATGGTTTGTGATTGACTGTGTCTGTTTCACGTGGTAACAATCCATGGCAACGATTTCTTCATGAATGATGTGCGTCATCTACATTTTATGCATGAGATGTCAGTGTGTGTTAACATCTAATAGCACTTACAAATTTTATAGAAAGATTATATCATAAATATAAATTCTAGTTTTTTACTGAAACCATTTTGATTTAAATGTGTTTCCATGCGTTGTGTATGCTGAAACCATTTTGAGTTAAATGTGTGTATATGCGCTGTGTATGCTGAAACCATTTTGATTTAAATGTTTTTATATGCGTTGTGCATGATGAAACTCTGTTTAATGGTCTGCTAGCTCCGTGTGCTTGTACTAAAGTATTGACTCCTGCGAGTGATGGAATCAAGAAAAGGAAGATGAAGAATTGAAGATTTGACAATTAGTAGAAGATTTGAAGAACATTTAAGATACGGAAAATATTTTTGTTATCTCTACTTTATTTAAGTAATCTTTTTAATAAATCAAATGTCTTTAGTTTTTAATGCTTTTAATCTCTCCTTTGAGGTCAATTCTTCAGTCAATTGGCCGTGTTGGGACTATTATAATGTGTTAACACTGGTGTTTAGTGGTTATAAGGTTTGACTTGTTTGGCCGTTCCTTGTTCAACCTGTTGTCTGGCCAGCGTGATCTGGGGTGTCTTTCAGATCTATGACCAATTTATGTGTATTTTCCTTGTTTTCCATCTTGTTTATCATTCATAGAAACAAAATAACCACTAGTGCTGTATGCATCAATTTAAGTTTTATATTGTATGTTTAATGTTGATTGATAAAAGAATATTGATCAATAATTGTGATTTAAAAAAATTAACAACGTGAACTCACTTGCTTTTATGTTACTAATGCAAATGACCAGAGTCCAAATACGTGGTAATAATTGTTCAAAATGGAGGAGATAGCACCGTCAAAGTGAAGCTTCTTATGGAAAGTAGTATTGCAGACATTGAAGTTTCAGAACACCGAAACAAAAAGGTAGATAGCAGTTATATATACTGTACTAAATGCATTTATATTAATTTCAGGTTTTATTTTATTTATCAAAGAATTTTTCCTTTATTTCTCCTCTATACCTCTTCAAATAGAAGCTAAACTCACATGTCTGAGTCACTGTCTGTATGGCATTGATTATTTTGTGGGACTTACGTTACAAAACAAAGCTTGACATAATTTTGCATTCCCTTTCAAGTTGAAACAGCAATGCTGATGGTGTTGTAGACAACATCACTAGCAAAGTTATTTTTTGCTTGAAATTAGAAGTGGAACAGGAAGTGGAGTTGGAAGTGAAATTGAGTTTAAAAGTATGTTTGGTATGATGATGGAAGTGCAATATAATTTTTAATTAATATATCTATTTATAATGTGAAAAGACATGTCTGGAAAAAACCCCCTCCCGCCACCCAAACAGCTATTGCCACCACTTCCCAAACACAAAAACAGCCACTGGCCACCATAGAAACAAACCCTTGCATCCCAATTTTTTTTTTTTTTTTTTAGAAAGAACAGCCATGCACAAAATAATTCAGGGGGGAAAAAAGATCGAGGAGCAAATGCTGGAAATTGCCAATGAGCTTTAGATGCAGACAATATAACATCAGCGGGGGAACACCACCAAGAGGCAGGAATAATAATAATATTCATCGGATTGATTCTAGAGTTCATATTGCTAGAAAATTCATTAGTGGAGTCTATCAACAAAATTCTATGCTTGATACCCGATAATTTGAAACATCACCACAAAATCCTTTTAAGAAGAACCCCCCAAGGATTCTGTTCAGATTCCAGATTAAGACTCGTATTCGCTCTTTACTTCCTCCACCTAAATCGCAGAAAACCTCATCGGATTCTGAAATAGTGACCACCACAGAGCCAGGAGTAGGAACCTAAAATTCCCCTTGAATCATCCATAGCTCGGTAATAAAAGCAAAAATAATAATAATAATAATAATAATAATAATAATAATAAGCATCCAGTCCCAGGAAGATCATCAACCTGTGTATCCTTTTGACAGGTAATTCCTTGGTTAAAAAAAAAAAAATCCTAAACTTGTGTCGTCGCATCCTCCACTACTTCACCAAATCTGTCCAGTGCAAGCTGTGCGTTTGTGCATTAAAGGCCGCTGGAGTTATATGAGGGGGATGCTGTTAGAGGATGCATGTTGATGAGGGGGAGGCCAGGGTCACGTCGGAGAGGGAGGCTGTTGTGTTGAGAGAGAAGAGAGACAACGTGGTTATAATTATTTATGGGGCAAAATTGTCCATTGATAAAATGAGTGTAGAATGGTCAGAAAATTTCACTTCCATAGAACTCAAACCAGTTCTGTGGGATAGGCCATGGAACCCAATTCCATCAAATTTGACGGAAGTCAGTTACACATGGAAATGGTTTCCATTGTACCGAAAATCCACTTCTCCGGTCTGAATCCCAGTGTAGCAAATGGGGCATAAAGGATTTAGTGAAGGGATTGATGACCAAGGAATTACTTTCACTGTTTGTAGGATTCATTTTTCATATGCAATCGCCTTACCCTTATTGCACTATTCTATTTCAGATCAATGTCTCAGTAACTAGCAGTGAAATTACTAAACTGACTTTAAATGCTGGAAAAGGGGAATGTGTGCTTCACTTGGGTACTCCTGTCCCCGAAGAGGGGATTTTCTTCCGTCTTCCTTCTTATGAGAAAGTTTTAACACCAATAAATGGGGCGTACTTCCTCATTGTAGCAGTTCTAATATTTGGAGGGACGTGGGCTTGCTGCAAGTTTAGGAAGAAGCAGCATGATGGGGTACCATATCAAGAGCTTGAAATGGCACTGCCTGAGTCTGTTTCAGCTACTAATGTGGAAATAGCCGAAGGTTGGGATCAGGATTGGGATGATAATTGGGATGAAGATGTTGCTGTGAAGTCACCTGGGAGACCTCATGCTGGTAGCATCTCAGCAAATGGCCTTACAGCGAGATCGTCTAACAAAGATGGATGGGAGAACAATTGGGATGATTAGTAGTTTACGGTCAAATGAAGCAGGAGGATTAAAGTTGGCTTAAAAGATGGAGGTCAATGCAGAAAGCAAGAAGTGCGATCCCAACTCTGGAGGGACGTGACAAATTTTGCTGTGGTGGGGCATTCATAAAGAAAAGAAGAAAGAAGTATAATAGTTTTCACACATTTGTGTGTTTTTTTTTTTTTTTTTTAGTTGGAGTATAACTGAACATGGATTAGGGAATGCCTTGACGAGAAAATAGGACTCTGTATATGAACTGCAGGAGGCAACGTGTATATCTTTGGGTTCCATCAGTTCGTTTTCGTTATATTGTCCCTTTTGTTTTTTGGGTATAATCTGGTTTCCTTGTGATCCTGTTGGATGACTCTCCCTCGTATTGAAGTAAGATTCATTTAATCAACAAAATAATAATAATAATAATAAAAGAAGTAATTTTTTTACTTGTTTGTCTGTTTCTGCATTCATTGTACATTTTCTTCTTATGAATAAATTTCACCTTCTTCGCCAAAAAAGCAGTAAGATTAAAAATCTTTCTTTTTGTTGAGGAGAGGAAGAGATCCAACTAGGATCTATTACAAAATCTTTCAAAGGACGGTTCCGCCTAAATGTGCAAAGATAGAGTAGGCATCTGTGCTTTAATCATATCATTATTTAGTAAACTCTTTTCTAGGACTTTGGATCCAAAACTTAATTAATAAATAATCAGCAACAATGTATTATATTACATTCATACATTGGAGTATTGGACCGACCTATGTTGGACTGGATGGGATGGATAATTGGGTTGGCGTTTTCTTTTTTTAAAAAATAAAACGGAGGGAAAAGGACCGATACACTTACGCTTAATCAACATTGAAGGCCGAAGGAGTATAAACAAAAGCAAATGATCCCTATGATAACAATTTTATGGTCTTCTAGCGCCACCCTACGAAAATGGAAGATCCATGGTAAAAGTAGAAATGAGCTCATACTTTTATAATTAAACTGCTGGGGTGCAGGTTCAAATGTGTGTTTTTTTTTTTAAAAAAAAATGGCTTTCTCTATCTAATAATGTAGTTTTGAACTTCAGATCAAAGTGATTATTTTAAATATTTATCTAATCCTATTTATAAGTCATTTTTAAAATATTCCAATGAAATTTAAAAAAAATTAAAACTTATTAACTCTGTCTAAAAATTTAATAAGTTCTCAACTTTATTCTTATTAAATAAATATATTTTAATAATATATTTCTTCTCACCAATATTTAATAAATGGTAAAAAGGGGAAATTCATGATAAAAATTTAATGAGGTGATTTATAAATAGGACAAAAAATTTATCTCTCTCTCTTTTTTTTTTTTTGCCAAAATATCTCTGTCTTATGAATAAAACTGGAAACAGTACTTCGTAAGGTAGTTAAAAAATTTAAGAAAAAATAATTAAAAAAATATATAGGGATAGGGATATACACACACATTAGTGGTTACTTCATGCTTGAACTTGAAGCGAGGCAGGCCAGCATGGTTAGATGTCTAGAAGTAAAATGCAGGCTTACAAATTACAACGTGACGTGCCTGGCGTAATTGTTGGCCTTGTTGGATGTAGCAGGCGGAGAGGATTGGGTATGAATTCAATCTTAAAGTGTAGGAGTTCGTTGTGTAATTGAAATTTGTGCTAATGTTTTGTAAAATTCGGTAATTTATAAATGACATGGACATATATACAGGGAGAGTGAGTGGTGGCCTCGTAATTGCTAATGAAGCGAAAAGGCCAGAGGGAGAGGTTGTCGCCTTGTTGATGCAATGCAAGCCTCACTTTGTCTCCACTCATCCCCACTGTGATCTGTTCTTCCTAAACTCATACTATTCAAAGCCGAATCAAGTACCCTGTTATTTATATTTATATTTCCCTGTCCTTTTGTGTCATCTAAGCATGTTCTACATTTTGTTACCGTTATTATAAATGAATAGGCCACTGAATTCAAAATTTCTTCATAATAAATCTAAATGACCTTAAGGCAAATGCAAGAGTTGGCTAAGTTGGAAGGAATACGGGATTGATTGACAGTGATGCAGGGGCACCAAATGTTGGCATTTGTAAAAGGTTGTTAGTTGGCGGTGCTTTTAAGAATGATGATGTCTCTCCATCGGATCTCATGCTCCCTTTTCTTTATTGCTTTACCCAAATCATTCCGTTTTTTTAACTTCTAATCCAAGCATTCATTAACTTAAACATCACTGCATTTCTTAGTGTTACCAAAAGCACGGCTTTACTTTCTTCTCTTTTAGCATTTACGTGTTTCACGCGCTACTCTGGCGTTTAAAATGATTCGTGGTATTCCTCAAGACTTGCTGAGGTTTATTATGAATTTTATATTTTATGTCGATTTCATTTTCTTTTCTAGCCATCTCATGTGATTTCATTTCTTCCACTTACTTCTACGCTCCACCTTTTCTTTAGGATTAAATCTGTGAATCTCTCGTTCGCTTTCCTAGAAAGCTAAAGTAAAAGCTCCATTTCCTTTGCCTACTATTCTTTTTATTCTCCTGTCTCCCACTTCCAATACCTCATCTCAGAACACCATGTGAGACGGAAACTTGAAATCTGATATGCATGCTGTGCAATGATTTTTTTTTTTTTTTGAAAAAAGAAAGATCAAGATTAGTATTTCAATTTTCAAGTGGTGGGGTAAATTATACGCATTTGAAAATTCCTATGACTTGTACAGAGGAATATACGAGTAACTATAATTTCTCAATAAAACCACAAATGCAACACACTTGAGTTCAAACACGCCGATCGGTACTCCGGGGAAAAGAGTGAAATCAAGACAATATAAAGCTGGTGAAGAATAATCCAGTAATACAACTTAGCTGACCAAACAAACGAGGGAGAAAACAAAACCTACAGTTACAGGATTGAAATTGACATTCTTTCTTGTTTAGCTTTTTAGGGTAAGCAAACTGGATTGTTCTTCACCAGATATTGCAATAGATGGTATTTCTCAATCCTACAACTAAGAACTCATGCTAATTCTTCTTGTCCCTCTGAAGGGCATTGGATCAACTCCAAAATATTAACTGCCTCGGCCATATCTGGGCGGTTTGAAGGCACTTGTGATGCACAAATTAAGCCCAATTTTATCACAGGAATTGCTTCCTCAGCAACAAAATTACCCAGAAGCCTCCTGTCCACACATTGCTCCACCCTACCTTCCTCCAACATACCCCTTACCATATCACACAGAACAACCACATCATCTTCCATATATTCCACTGGTCTTTTCCCAGTCACCACCTCAAGAACCAGGATCCCAAAGCCATACACGTCACATTTCTCAGTTATCTTCACTGTCCGGCATGCAAACTCAGGGGCCATGTACCCAAGTGCACTTTGAATTTTGCTGCTCAAAACACAATGGTCTAGCACCGGCAACAGCCTCACCAAGCCGAAATCTCCGATTTTTGGCTCACCAGAGCAATCGATCAAAACATTTGTTGACTTTAGATTGTAGTGAATTATATTCATTTGATGCAAATGAGCCAACCCTCTTGCCATTCCAAGAATAATCTTGAACCTTTGCCGCCAAGAAAGCAAGTTTCTATTATGCTCATCTTCTTCATGTAGAAGCTTATGCAGACTCCCTCTAGATAGATACTCATAAATAAGGAGCTGCAAGGATGAAGTCCAGTAATACCCTTTAAGTCCCACAAGATTCTGGTGTTTGATTGTCGCATGAGTTTTCACTTCCCTCTCAAAGTCTTCTTGTGACTTGATCAATCCAGAGACTGTAAGCTTCTTGATTGCAACAGAATGCCCATCTCGGAGGACAGTGTGATAAACAGTTCCAAATCCACCACGACCTATTATACTGTCTTTGTTTAGGAGCTTATTTGCCCCATCATCAAAACCAGCCTCACCAGAAAACATAACAAGCTTGCCATAGTTTGGATCATTTGCAGGAGAACAACTATAGTCCTGAGCACCCGAGAATGCAAATGGGGCAGCAGAATGAGACATTGAATGACGAACATGGATATTTAAGACAGTAATGGCCACCACACCAATAGTGATAAAAGCTGCGGCACCAATAGCAATAAGAGAAGAAATACTCAGTATGATCTTTTTATGACCATGGTTTAGAGAGGAAGCGTTGGAGTTGGAGTTGGAGTTGGAGTAAGAAGAATTGGTGTTTAGGACAATAGGTTTGGGATGGACCGAAGGGCAGGAATGATTGACAACAGAACCACACAAGGATGGATTACCAGCGACAGAAGAGGGAGAGATGATATTGAAGAAGCCGCCTACTGGTAGCTCCCCTTGAAGGTGATTGTAGGAGACATTAAAAAATAAAAGGTGTGAAAGATTTGAGAGATTTTTGGGTAAGCTTCCAGAGAGTTTATTCCATGACAAGTCCACATACTTAAGATTAGTCAGGTTTGCCATGGCTGCAGGGATTGAACTAGTAAGTTTGTTGTGTGAAAGAATCCTGTAACATTCAGTTGAAATGCAACAAAAAATTCATCAAACAAAATGAACACACAATTTTCAATTAAAAATATCAATCATTCATACCAAGTTATGATAGAGAGCTTACAAAGTTGTTAGCGAAGAGCACTTTTCAATTTGGGCTGGAATTTCCCCACTTAGGGAGTTGTTCTGTAACCGCAGTTCACTGAGTGAAGAAGTCCCCTCTAGTTCAGGAGGAATTCTTCCATTAAGTTTGTTGTCGCTCAAGTCAAGAATGTATAAAGATTTAAGTTCTCCTATACCCGCTGGAATAGAACCAGAGATATTGTTGGCGGACATATTTAATACTTGCAAGCTACTGAGGCCGCCAAGATTAGATGGAAGTTTGCCAGAAAACGCATTTGATGACAAATCCAAAACCTGAAGACCATGATAAGATTCAGGTATGGAGGTAAATGAAGGATAATCGCTGCTATTGAACCTGTTCCCTGAAGGTGAAATACTTTGTAAGCCCGTCTTGAAAATCCATGAGGGAAGAGGACCTTCCAACTGATTTTGGCTGACGTCTAAAGCCAAAAGCTTAACACAGTTTACCATTGATTCGGGCAAGTTTCCTGTAAAATGATTCCTAGATAGATTTAATTTAGTCAGTAAGTTGAGATTGCCTATTGATTTTGGAATCCAACCAGAAAATCTATTTGCTGAAATATCCAACATCTCGAGATTTTTTAATTCTCTAATCCAATCAGGAATCGCTCCTGTGAATGAATTCCCGCGTAAATTAAGGGATGTGCAGGAGTTAAGTCCCTGTGTTGACTCAGGAATTGCCCCAGAGAGAAAATTATCACTGAAATCA